ACAAAAGACCTCCCTATATTTTCTCTTCTCTGCCTGTTATCAAGGCTTTCTAAGCAGGGATGAAAGCCTTGGCAGCTCTCCTGCAATCAATCCAGGTGCAGGGACTCTGTGAGGGATGTCCAAAGAGAGCAGCCTGACTCCACACAGGCACTTCCCAGAGCAGCTCACAATGTTACAGAAAAGAAATAAGCAGCAAGATTAGTTCTGACCTTTACCTTATACTAGAATTGTACTATCATTCTTTTCTCCTTGTTTAACACTTGTTAAATAGTTGTTCTAATCCATGTGATCTCAATTAAATGTATGATACAGTGTCAAAAAAATTAACTACAGGGCATGAAATACAAAATTATCATAAACCTTTTTAAGTGGATAAAGGCTTAATCAAAAAAAGCCAAAAAACCCATCACACCCCTCCCCTGTAATAACCAGTTGTTCCAAAAGAAGAACTATCATGTAATTAGGTGACAATAAATGGAGTTGATCAGGAATGCTTTTGGACTCAATTGTAGGCAGCATCTCACACTGTGTGCTGAGGTCATAAAGTAAGTCTGCACTAATTGCATGTGCTGATAACCCAAAATTAAGATACTTTGATGGTACTGGTGTATTACAAGAAAACACTGTGTGACCTGAGGATTAAAGAACAAAAACTCCAAAGGAACTAAATAGTACAGATGTCATGCACTTGCTTGGGCTAACAAGGAGATGTGCAATACATGGGGAATTGACTTACAGAAAAAAGAGAGGAGAAAAAACAACCTGAGTTACATGCAAAATGCACACATTCAAAATATAGGATACAGCTGAAATAAAGGCAAATGTGATTCAGACAACATTTCTAGGAAAGACAAGGACATACTAATGTCCCTCAGTAAAACATTACTTAAAAAGTGCTAATAGGATAGATTTTATACTCCTCCACCTAAACACTCATTTTTGGACAAGAAGCCAAAACACTGTATGCTTCTAAAAGCTAATGCATGCCCTAAACATACCAGCAGCATGACTATTTCAGCAGAAAATGAGTTTTTCAGCTCTAACACTGGCATGTAAATGCAAATATTTATTTTTAATTTCAGTCTCCTCTGAAACCTACCTTTCAATTTACAAGACTAAGTGTATAAAATTGACCAGGAATCATTGAGGGCACCACTTAATTAAACATTCTGAGAAATAAATTAGTTTTTCTATGAAAGAGAACTGGTAAAAATGTAAAAAACAGGTGTATTTGAAACACATTACTCCCATTTCTTCTAACTGATTTTATGTAATATTTTATGGGAATTTAAAATCTTGCAGGGATGGCATCCTTCCAAACGGAGATGAGAGCAATTTGCCCCACTCCACTACCTCATCAAATCTGTTTGCTTACCACTGGATCTAGCCTCAGTCAAGACTTAGCAATGGACAGAATTCCCAGCTCACCTATGTGCACTCATACATATCACAGTGGTAATTTTATTTTCTTCTGTAAAACGGAGGTCGAAAATTTGCTCAAACTTTGCTGTTAACTTCTAAACACCATTTCTTTCAAAATTATTTATTCTGAAATAGCAGCTTGATTGTTAGGAAGTTCTATCCTGGCTGTTTGGGTGGAAGTGAGTTCTGCTCAGACATGCCCGAGAGACATGAGCCCTCTGAGCTTGGACAATCCTTTGGAACAGGTATGAGTAGGTATCAAGTCTATGAACTGTGGGGTAGAAGACCCGAATCCCAAGGGAACATGGGAGAGAAAGGACTGGTGTAAAAGGTCCAATTCCACCAAACTAATGTGTGGGGCCTGATCCCAAAACTCTGGTCATGTTGCTAGAAGCAAGTGTCTGAAGAGCCCTTCAGCTTGAGAGTCTTGTCTTGTAGAACTCAAACAGCTGTGTGTGATTTTCTCTCATTTCTTTCCATCTGCTTCCGCAATGGCAGCTAACAAATGTTCTGTTAATGCTCTACTACAGGAAGAGATGTTTATTCTTATAATTTTTCCTAGCTTTGGAGTAATTTCTAAGTGGCTGGCAAAGGGCTGGTGATTTGGAGTAAACCTAACCTACAAGTATGCACCAGACCAAACCAGGCTCCAGAGCTGGACAGGCCTTCCACTGCCCTGTACAGCTAAGAGCTGGCAACATAGCACCTCTGATTGGGAAAAGAGACTTCCCTGTGAAAAATACAAACCAGTTCATCCTTCACATGGAAGGAGATATCAAAGTCTATGCCCAAATCCCACGTGGCTCCTGCCCATAAGGCTGAAGTACTCTTGCTCAGAGGATAACAGCAGCATGCATGTCAGGAATGCAAGAAGCACAACACTTATGTTGGAAATTCCTTCCTGAATTAGTATGTGATGCAGGTTTTGGTGATTAGTATTACACAGAAGAAAGTGAAAATAACAAAGCAAGAACACAATCCATTCAGTCCTTACCAAGCATATAGAGAATCTGGAAGGACTTGACTTAAACCCAATTATAAAATATATCAAATCTAACAAGGGCACTTGAATGAGGATTTCCCACAGAGAGTAAAACATCAAGATATACTTGTTCCAGTTTTCTTTTTTCTTTCCAGTACCATGAAAAAGGAGGAAGCTTGTTCTTGATTTCCCTTTAATCTCAAGATGTGGCTCAGGAAGAAATGTGGATGTCTGATCCCTAGAAGTGTTCAAGCCTGGGCAATATCGTCTAGTGGAAGATGTCCCTGCCCATGGCAGAGGGGTTGGAAGCAGATGATTGCTCTCTACAGCACCCTGAAAGGAGATTGTAGCTGGGGAAGCCTCTTCTCCCAAGCAGACAGCAACAGGACAAGAGGAAACGGCCTCAAGCTGCACCAGGGGAGGTTCAAGCTGGGCATCAGGAAAATTATTTCACAGAAAGGGCTGCTAAGCATTGGAATGAGCTGCCCAGGGAGGTGGTGAAGTCACCAACCGCAGAGGTGCTCAAGAAATGACTGAAAGCTAAAACTTAAGGCATCATCTTCTATGATTCTATGAATAAGTGGCTTAATTGTTTAAGTAAATCCTAAGTCACCAAAACCAGGCTGCAAAATTGCTTACAGTAGGTTGCAAAGTCAACAGTGATATAGGAATATTCTACCAGATAAAGACTCAAAAAAACCCAAAATAAACAACAAAAGAGGCTGATCATCTTAAGACTTTCTTCTTGTAGCTGTCCCACATTAAACTGTATCTCAGTGTTTTCCTCTCTAGCTTCTGCCTTAGATGGTAATTCAAGGAAGTGCAAGTTGAAAAGTGTCTGTAACAAACCGGGTGTAACTCCACCCCTGGCTGATGTGGGAATAACGATGGCAGCAACACCGACTCCATAAATCCAAGTCACTCTTCACACAACCTAATCTATGGATTAGCCAAAAAAACCACTGTCAGCAAAAACTGCTCGGTCCCTAAGAGCTTGTAAGAGAAATGTTACTCTGGTGTATTTCATACTACAGCCTTTAAAGCCTGGGAGGTCCCAACACTAGCTGAAGACCTGACCAAGATTTAATACACGCTGGATTTCTCTCACATAAACAGGTATTTAAAGCAAAAATACACCAGGCAGCAATGGAGCTATTTAAACATAGCCTGCTCGTGCTGGACTCCAGACTGACAATCCAGAACCCCTGTGTTTCTGAAGTACCTGACAAAACATTAAATTACTGAGCTCTTTCTTTATAAAAATAGTTACATAAATTTATATGCACCATAGCATTCGTGAGGCTGCAAAGTTTTGTTACCAAAACACTGCAGTCAAACCAGTTACCAGCAGCAACTGTGAATTACACCAATAACCAAGTGTTTCGTATTTGGGAGTCTGAGAAAAAAAATCTGGAAACTGGTGCTCTGGTTGGCTTTTGTACTTGGGAAACTCTTTTTGCCATTAACAATTAATTAATTAATGGCCCATTGCCATTAACATGGAAGTCTCGCAAATCAGTGATTCAAATTCTTCTGCAAATTAAAGTGTGGAAGCTTAAACAGGAGTGAATTAATTACATGTTTTATGGGGGAGATCCTACTCAGCTCAAGTCTTTCAGATACAAGTTTGAGCTCAAATTCATGGCTGATAGTGTCCAATCAAGACACCTGATTTCAGGTAGGGTTGACAGGGATTCAGAAGTTACTAAACCTATAAAGTATTCCCACCAGCACTTCTTGCATGACTTTGGTATAATTAAAAAAAAAATCTTGTCCAGTTTTGGAGAAGACCTAAAATCTATCAGATCCAATTCAGGTGCAGAAGCACAAAACCCAGCCTGCCAGACTGACTTTCATGGCTTGGTCCTAAAAATTCATCTGTTAGAAGTTCAAAGCCTTTTCATCATTCACTTAATCTGATCCTAGCAGAAAGAATTCAACCCTTTTACTTTCTCTTAAACCTTGATTCTGACAGGTAGAGAAATTATAATTAGCAGAACATACATTTTTATTTGACTCCCTCCAGCCTTATCTATATGTGTACACTGCCTACTTGTCTGGCAGAAGAATCTATCACTGAGGCAATGGAAGCAAGTTCAAGTGGTCTTGCTGAATGCAGAAAGCAGGCTCGGTTTACACAATTTTTTTTAAACAGTGTATCTTGTAATTTTTGAGTACAATGTATCGTCAGAAAAACATAAAAGCTTTAAAAGTCATGTTTTATAAAGCTATGTCAGGTACAGTAAAGTACAGAAACGTTCTTATGATGTTAATGAAGTGACACATGTGAATAAATTGTTATTAACATAGTTTCATACATTTTAAAAATTACAGTACCTAAAAGCTTTAAGGCATCATTTCTTTTGACTTATTCCATAATGATTAATTTGAAAAATCAGAGCAGAGATAATTAGACAGTGTGGTTACAGACCAAACTGAGCTGTTTCATGTACATGACACTTTGCAGACAGGACTTTTCAATCGTTCCTTGGCTTGCTATAAAGCTGAACCTACCTTCTTGCAAGATAACCTTGTTAGCATACACAAAGAAAAAAAAACAATCCAGAAATTCAATATTATTAAATGAAATATCTACCTGAGAGCTTCATGAGGAGCTCAGATGCTGCCTTGACTGACATGTCCTGCCTCATCACGTTTGCCTGTGCTTCTTGTGGCTTGAGTTTCTCTTCAGGGACGCTTGGAGCTGGGGCTTCAGGCTCTTGGCTGAACACATAGCTGGGCTGAGACACAGCTGAACTTCCAGCTTCTTCATCCTTAGGCTCCTCTTTCACTTTAAAATTCGGAGTCAAGGGCTCTTTTTGATTTGCAGCTGAGAAGAGAAGGAAAGAAGTGAGACTTAGTGTAATCCTGGAACTGCTAGTAACAGGAAGAAACCATAACCTTAGAAATGCTAAAGCAGGTAATGGAAGCAGACACATCCAACTCTGCTCAAAGATGCTTCAAGGGACAAACAAACTTCTACATCTTTTCTACAAAGGAGCAGCTTTGAAACACAACAACTGCATGTACCAAAGCTCAGAAGAACATCCTCTCACTATTTTCCCCCTACTTCTCCTAAAAGCTCTTCCCTCATCATTGGTTTTTGGGTTTTCTACAGGCTTGGTAAGAAGTTTAAAACATCATTTCATGTAAGGGCAAATTTGGCAAAGCCTATGTGTATGACATGCTAAGGTTTTAAAGCATGGAAAAGAGGCAAGAGATGAAGAGTAGGAAGACAGAAAACCTAAGAGGGGAGTAAAAGGGAAAAGATAGCAAATTCTTAGGTCCTAAAAGCTGCTATATTAAGAAGAGAACTAAGAGATTTCCAGAAGAGAGCTCTGCACTGTTCCAAGCTCTATATCCAAGAAAGAGAATAAGTTAAAAATATTCCTTTCAAATACTCCTCCTAAGCAGCTGTACAGCCTCACAGGAGGGTAAGGAGACTTTGGGGAGCTGCTTAAGATCTACACACTGAGCAATGCCATTCTTGAAGGGTCTTTCTGATACCCCCTGACAGCAGCAGTACCTTTGCACAATGTTTGATTAAAAGGATAAAACCAGAACAGCTCTTAAACAATACTTCCAAGCCCAGCCAACACAAATTCATGGGCAGAGGCATGACAAGCAGAAAGCTAAAGAAGTTACACTATTTTTCACGTAAATATATATATATATATATATATATTTATCTTTATCTTTAACTATGAAGAGAGACTTCTTTTCCTGTCTTGGCCAAAATATCGCTTTAAATTCCCAGTAATACACAGTAGATGATTCACTGAGTACCTTTAACTTTGGCAAGTTTGTATTTTTCCCACCTCTAAACTTGTGTCTCCATAAACACGGAAGACACAGCATTGAGCCTGACAAAATCTGGCTACATTTACCTGCTTTATTAAACCTTTGGTCTACTTTCTCCAATTCACAGCTTCTTACCTTTTCTCAGTCTCCTCACTTTTTTATTTCCTCACACACACTCCTTCTCAGCAACTCCCCCAAAACTCTAAGAAAGCCCAAATTCCTGCATCCTACCATGAAGTGCTTGCCATCTCCCAGAGACCCAAACTCCAAAATATGAGGTAAAATTGTCATTTTTATCAGAATTAGACACTGACATTTGCTACTTTGAGTCTTTGCTCATTTCCACACAGTTCAATTTTTTGTGTTTGTCTTTGGGGGTGTCCTAATGAATTTAAAGCTACTGCATTAAGTTGTAACACAACATATCTTTCCAATTTATATTTCAGAGTTGTTTGGTTTTCCTCCTTGTTAGTTGGCAAGCCACTACCAAAGAACAGGATTAAGACAAGTGGTATAAAGAATGCACACATAAGCAATGTGCACATACACATTAGCTCTATTCACTTCAGAAATTCTGAATTACCTTATATCTGGAATTTTTAACATGACCCATAGGCACTTTTACCAGCAGTAGGAATTGCTTTTGAATTTTTTATTTTTTAAAGAAGAGCAAAGGCAGAAATATGAAACACTAAAACATGCTTTAACCCATGAAAATACAAGTTAGCCAACCCAAGCCAACCTTAACTTTACTGAGGTACTAACACAAAAATTCCATCTATCTTCTTGATCCTGGCCTCAGTCTATTCTGGGGTTTGACCTGGGGTGATGAATGGTCACAAAAAAAAAAAAAAGAGACCCAAACTTTCTCTGATGAATTACCTTCTGCTGTCCTTTGCTTTTAAAACCTGCCATTCCAGCTGCTATGCTGATATGAGAAATGCCTCCACCAGGATCTGAGTACAACCGAGAGAGAGCAGTCTGCCTGAACTTTCAGAGAACATTAGGGAAAGAAAAGGTCTTTTGAATTTATTCATTTCAAAAAAGTATTAATTCAAATCTGTCCCAGAAAATAAAGGAAGCATGAGCCCAAGTGAAGAGGTAAAGACAACCCACTGAGAACAGCCATTAACCTGTGGACCCAGCCTTGTCTCTGCCACGAACCAGGGCAGAAACTGAGCCAGGTAGAGCAAGCACTACAGGTTGGGTGAGCCTATACTCTTCTACCATTTAAAACAGAGGTGATATTAAACTTGCAGAGATCGGTGTAAGTTTGCAATCATACACCATGGCAAAAACACCCATAAACAAACAGAATGTAACAGAATTCATGTAATATCACAGACTTAAGCAAGGAACTTATTACAAGAGTTAGGTGCTATAGTAGGCAGTGGCAGACGCTTATTGCATTATCCTACAACAAGAAAAAGGATCAAAAGGAAGGCTTTTGGAAGAAATTAGCATTTTTAAAAACCCTCTTATCACCAAGGCAAAAGCCAGCAGCCAACGTGACCCAGTCTGAGGGCAGGTGTAAGGTGGTGCCTCTATGCTCTTCATCCCAGGGTTTCTTCAAACCCTACTAAGATGAAGACAAGTTCTAACAGCTCAAAATTCAAGGCAGAACACATCAGAGTTTAAATAGTTTAGTGATAGTCCAGTTCTTGGCCCCTCAATTCAGGAAGAACACTGAGGTGCTGGACTGAGTCCAGAGAAAGCCAACAGAGCTGGCGAAGTGTCTGGAGCACAAGTTTTATGAGAAGTGGCTGAAGAAGCTGGGGATGTTTAGCCTGGAGAAAAGGAGGCTCAGGGGTCACTATTACCCTACAATTCTCTGAAAGGAGGCTGTAGCCATGTGGAGGTCAGCCTCTTGTCCCAGACAGCCAGCGACAGGATAAGAGGAAATAGTCCCAAGCTGCACCAAGGGAGGTTTAAGTTGGACGTCAGGAAGAACTGCTTCCAGAAAGAGTGATTAGACATTGGATTAGTGATTAGACATTGGAATGGGCTGCCCAGGGAGGTGGTGGAATCACTGTCCCTGGAGGTGCTTAAGGAAAGACTGGATGGGGCACACAGTGCTGTGGTCGGGTTGACAAGGGGATGTTTGGTCATGGACTGGACTCAAGGATCTCAGAGGTCTTTCCCAACCTGACTGATCCCATGAAGTGATAGATCCCAAACGAACCAGGTTTCCCTCCTTTCCTCTGTACATCTTTCCCTTTCTGTCCCTACCCCACTCGTGATCCCTCCTGCAGTGACAGAGCCACTGCCACCTCACACTTCTGAGCCATCATCCAGGGTAACAATGACAAACAAAACCATGTTGGTAACAAATCTACCAGCACAGCATCAGACATAATCTAAATGAGCTCTTCATGAGATATGTACACTCTGTGTGTTCACAATACTTCACCAATAAAACATAGCCAGGGTCCCCCAACCCAGAGGACGCCCTGAAGGTGTGTCTTTGGCAGTGTTACAAGAAGGCAAAGAATCCCAGACTGCTGCTCTTACCAATGTCACTGATTCTGCCTACTCTAGCTGCTTTGGAATTCATAAATTAATTAAAGAAATAAGACTCTACTTCTTTCCTAACTGGCAGCACATTCCTTAAACTGATGATGTTTTCTAAAAACCAAACATTTAAACTGTAGATAAATCACAAAAATAGAAGAGTTATTTGCTTCATTTTTCTTCCCCCAGAAAATAAAAATAAAATCAGACAACTACTGGGTCAGTTTCAAGCCAGTTGCTACAACTAATAGGGTTTTTACTCCTTGAAATATACTAAAGCAGATTCTAATGTAAATGAAGCCGAAAACAGAAGGACAAATAAAAAAGGGCAGGTTGTCTCATTTATCAGATGCATACATTAAATCTAGAGGGGGAAAAACCCCACAACACAAAAAAGACCCCTTAAACAACAAAAGTCCCCACCACTCTTGTCCCATCTTGGATCCACAACTATGGAAAAAATTGGTAACACATGGGAAATAGCAAGTGTGATGCATCCACTAGTCAATTTAGGGAAAACAATAAACAGATGTAAGAAAAAGTGTAACAAATCAGAGAAATAAAAGTCTACTACGACTAGTTTTTTAAAATCCCATGACTGAGGAATCCCTAAAAAAAAATCAGAACTAGACAAGAATTAAAAAGAGTATGTTGAAGATTATTAAAGTATATTTGAATGACAACATTATTACTCCCCAGAAAGGAGACTATCTTCTATCTACATAGAAGAATAGATACACACACATATCCTAATTTGTATTTAATTTACATTCATTCTGAACAGCAGTGAGAACAGAATGATGTGTTGTCTGCAGACTGAGCAAAAAAAAAAACCCAGCAATTTAATTTTGAAATACACAGCGAGGAAACAAAACAAACCCACGTAGAAAATGAAACCAACAGGCAGGAATCTCTCAAGCACAGTGGATAATGCTCCATTTGTTCCATTCCATATCCAGAAAAAACACAGATCAAAGAATATTCCAGACTGCTGATTTTTATCTTCCTGGCAACTGGAACCATTTGAGCCATTTGGCAAAAGTAGATGACGAAAGTTATAACACTTTCCTGAAACTGCCAAATGCCACAAGAAAAGCCTTGGGCATCTGCCACTAATCTGAAACACTCTGATAGAAGCTGCTAACTCCATCAGTCCACTTAAGAGGATTTCTAAATGCTCAAAATGTTTATAACTGAAAGAGGAAAAATGGGCTGATTACTTCCAAGCCAAGCTCAATGTTACAAGTTACAATCAGCAAGAAGCTGGTCACTGCTCCATCTGTCTGAGAGGAAAAAACAAGCAAAAAATCAGAATCTACAACAAAAATTCTGCCATAAAAAAAAGACCATGAGAAAAAGCATCCATAGAGTCTGTGTTGAATGGAACTATGATGAGCCTTCCATCCCAGATGGTAAGCTCTGAGCTGTGGTGATTAAAATGAACCAAGGGCCTTTGACAGATCAGTTCTGCAGTATTTGGAGGACACAGTCCCATGACAGTGAGCATCACATCACCCT